CTGCCGGTACCGGGGCTGCTCCTCCCGGACACGGGGCTTGTGCTGCGCTTTTCTCAGACGGGAAACCGGGAATAAAATATTGCTGGAGCGTTTTGGGCTCCTCTGAGGGCTGGGAAGGAGCGAAGGCGAGACTTTGATCGCGTCCTGCAGAGGGATCTGCGAATTGGAGGAGGAAACGGGTTGTTGGGCAAAAAGAATCAGATGCTCTAGCCCTGCCGGGGGAGGCAGCGCCCAGCGCTCTGCTCCGGCCCCATCATGGGCACGGGCATGTGCTCCAGGAGGCAGAAGGGGCTTCTGCAGACCGGGTTTTGCCTGGTGACTGTGGCATGTTTGGGCTCGGGAGTTTTCCTGTACAACCACTTGCAGCAGAAGGTGAGGAACGCTGAAGCCCTGGCCCAGAAATACAAACAGCAGCAGGAAGCTCTGTCTGCCCAGCTCCAAGGTGAGTGACCTGCTCTGGGTGTGCACCCACTGCCCCACTTCCCTCTCCCCCAGCATCACCCACTGGTGGGTTTGCTGCTCAGCCCCATGGCAGGAGGGATGCTTTGGTGGAGCAAGGTCCAGCTTTTGGCTTTAAAGAGCTCAAAGAAGATGTCACCTATTTCCTTCCCCCCTTTGCTGTCCAGAATTGAAATAGCTTTGAATCTGAACTGGTGCTTACAGCAGGATGGGGAATGGAGTGTGTTGGATGGGTGTGTTCAGCTGTGTCACCTCCAATCCATTTCTTTTCCCTCTAGTTCCTGTTGGCCATAAAGACTAATCCTATATCATCCTAAACGTGGAGCAGTAAAAATGCAAACAGGACTCAGAGAGGCTGGTTGGTCAGGCTCCAAGATGTGGCTCCACTCTCCAGTCTGCAGGAGTGTCTGTCTGGGAAGTGAACAGAGAAAGTTTGTTGTCATACTGTCCTCTGCCCATTGCCTTTGCAAGGAAACCACTCCAGCTTCTGAAGAGATTGATCTGTGACTGGAAAGGTCTTGCCAGCTTATTTGGGGCTGGTAGATGCTGCAGCACAGAGCTCCCTTAAAGAGATGGGAGGAGGAAAAAAAAAAATCAGCTTTTCTGAGCCTACTGCCCAGCACTTGGTTCCTCTGGCAAGAGCTGCCAGAAGACCACAAGGCAAACATCACATGGATATTCCCTCTCCCTTTCCCTGCTCATTTGTCCTCCTTGTGTAAATGTCTGACTGGGAGAATGACATTTTGGCCAATGGAAAGTCTGAGGACAGATGTTAATCCATTGCTGAGTTCTTCCCTTCTTTGTCTAGTTTATCATTCCAGCCTTGCTGCCTCTGCCAAGGCTACATTCCCAGCACCAGTCACTAGATTTGGAGTCTCTAGAGGGATTTGCTGAGCTCCCTGCAGAGAGGTTTGGTGGGAATTAATTCTTTGGGAGCCAGCAGTTGGGTGGGTAATGCTGCAGGATGGGTTGGTTCTGGAGTGCCCACAGAATGATTTTTATGTGGATAAAATATTGTTTCCCTGTGGTTCTAGTGGCTGAAGGTCAAGAGATGAATGTAACACTTTTTCTTCAAGCAAGTGGGTTTAAATCGAGAGCTCTTCCTCAGGCTGAAATCAAACACTGGGTATCCATTGTGACCTCTGTTGACATGGCTAGGGATGCTGTTTCTACAGCCTGTCATTCTGGGGAATTTGACACAACATAGCTGCCTTTTGGGTTCAATTTTTTTTGTGGTGGTTTTGTGTGCAGTGTTGTGATGCAAATGTACCATTGCACTCGGGCTTCTCCTGCTCAGTTTCCACCTGTAAACTGGGAAAGCAAAGTGTGGTGTTTTGTTTTGGCTCTCAAGGAAATGTTCTTTAAAAAAAACCAATCAATCTTGTGAATTGACCTCCTGTGTGTGTGTACAGTTCTACTGCTATTATGGTATGTTTTGTTTCCATTTCTTCTTACGCTGTCACAAGGCAGTCAAACAGCTCCTAATGTGTTGCACAGTCCCAGCCACACTGATTTCCACCTTCCTCCTGTGTTTCTGAGATGCAAAGATCAGCAGGGCAGAAGTTAGCCCACATTCCTTTCTGGTGTGTCAGCATCTCTTGCTTCTCTTGGAGAGAGGGGCTGGTTCTTCAGAGAATAGGATGACAGTGGTAGCCTGAGGGAATCCCAGTTTTGGGAACAGCAGGCTCAAGCAAACAACTGAGACAGGCTTATAATATTTTTTTCCACCCAAATATGTTTGACTGGCAGAGCTGTCGCCTCTTGCTGGGGTTTCTAACCCTCTGTCAAGTCCTCCTGTTCCTAACTACAGTCGTTGCCATGGATACCTTTTTTATTTTGAGAAGACACTTACTTGTCCAACAATTTTAACAGAGACAAAGCTGCTTTTTGGATTTGGCTGGTGGGAGCAGCCTGGTGACTGGTGGATGGGAGCCATGGCCATGGAAGTCTGTAAATGCAGCTATGGCCATGGCTCTTCTGCTGGCTCCATGCCCTGCTTTGGAGCCTGGGGAGCCAGGGCTCCATCCCTGCCTTGCTGCTGACTTCTTGCACAACTTGAGTTGCTGTATCTTCTGCATCTCATTTCTGTCTCACCAGCTCTACAAAAGGATGTGGAATTCAGTGCTGCTTAAGTGGTGCTTCAGGTGCTTTCAGCTATCAAGTATTACCTACCCTTCTTATACCTGAGTGCAAGATATGGTTAATGCTTCTGATAGCCGCTGTAAATGAAGCTTGAAAAGTGTAGAGCTGGGCTAAGAGTTGAGTGAATGGAAAATGGAAAGGGAGAGGAGGTAGGAGTGAAGCTGCTTTGTGAGCCTGTCCCTTGTGCTGCCTTCCACTGGCTGTACCCAGGGAAACAGTTCTTGCTTACTCTCTGGCTGGGAAGTTCTGGATGAAACTAGGAAGATTTGAAAAGATGGGAAGGAAAGGTGTGTGTATAGTACCTTCCACATCTGTCTGATGTGTCCTAATGTGGCCTGGCAATGGCACATCAACTTGGTGTCTGGGAGGGAGGAATTTTCTCTCTCCCAACAGGCTGCCATTGCACAGTGGCTGAGTGTGAGGCTGCAGCACTTCTGTCCTCACCAGTGGGTGTTTTTTACCCAAAATGTCTTTCCTTTGCTGTCTCCCTGGATCAGAGAGGGAGGGATGATGGGTCTGGCTTTTGTCCTGCTCCCCTTGACCCTTGCTCTGGGTGATTCTTGAGCCTGAGTGACTGGTGCCACTGGTGATTAGTTGCGATGTGACTGGGTGGAAACTGGCAGGAGTATTTGATGTCTCTAGCAAGCGGAGTGACAGAGAATAAAACTTCTTCTGGGTGACTGGGGATGAAAAGGAGCACAGTGCAGTCTGCAAGTTAGTGTTGATCTCTGTGCCTGGAGCAGTGATCCACGGGCAGTGTGATGGCTCTTCCCACAGGATGTGCTGTTGGCATGGCCCAACCAACTGTGCTCCCTGTGGAGC